GACACCATGAATCAAAGAGAGTTACAATACAGTACTAGTGTAAGTACAGTAGACAGGCAACAAGTCTTACCGTTCTCGACACGATGTCCTGAACTTTACTAAAGAAATCAGGGAAGGTCATCATGTTAGCTGGAACCGACTCCAGTACACCGGCCAGAATAGGCGTCAGAAGTTCTTGAAATCCACTACAAACAAATTGATGATTATAGTGAACATTAAAAGATCATATTTATGGCCTCGTTGAAGCCGTGCCTCAGTACACTTACGGTATTTGCCGTAATATTTCTTTCTAATGCGATTATCAAGGTTTAGGTTAGTCTCCCCCACAGCCACTTTCAGGGTCGTCACGCAGCGCACAGGGGAGAAAGCGTTGCGTGACGACACTGAAAACGGCTGTGGGGGAGACTAGGTTTAGGTACAGTAAAATACAATAAGAGTAGGAGTGTGTTGTGCGCTTCCCAGTCAAACGAAAACCGCTCTGTACTATGATATGCCGTACCGTGTACGTACTTATGCAAGTCAGTAAGTAGTATACAAGGCATACTCAGATAAAAACTCGCGCTCTGAATCGATCGAAGGCGGTTGAAAGAACATGAACAGTTAGCTGGAGGTTAGACTTTCTTAAAGCTCTTGTTAAGATTTCTTCACCCCAGGCAATGCCTCGCTTTCCGAGCCTCTGCGCTCATCTTGAATGAGTTAGGAAAAGGCGCAAGTCATGTTGGAGGCGACTGTGAAGATCGACGGTCAAGTCGATGGGATACTGTACGTTAGACGGTAGCGGGACACGGTTACGGTACACTTACCAAGAAAGTTGAGTGTGTTCTGGTAGCTTGTCACTCCATGTTATCGGCCCGCCTTCTTGCTTCTGTACGCCAGATATCATGCCTGACTTCTTGGTAGTCGTGATGTGATACCTAGGGAATTATATTGGTTCCTAAGTATTTAGTCTAGAAAATGTTTGCCAGGAAATTTAAAGGGGGAGGATCTATTTGTAGCACGTAGCATTCATCATTACAAACCCCCTTACATGAAGGGTGGTAGAAGGATAGGGTGGGTGGGAGGGGGCATCAAAGTGCTATTCATTTCCCCCCTGATTGCTATACATCTTTGTTACTTGCTGATGTTACAAAACTTTTATCTGTGTAGCTAGTGTTTTAGGACCCTTGAATTAAGTCCCAATCAGGGGCGGATCCAGGATTTTGTTCAGGGAGGGGTGCTGCGCACAAATTTAACCCAGGGAGGGGAGCACCTATTAGAATCAAAGGGAAAAAACAGTATTGGTTATCTTCGAAGTTGGGGCACAAAGGCAAACCAGGGAGAGGATCCCACCTCCTGCACTCCTCCCCTGGATCCGCCCCTGCCAATACCTGTGGGTCAAGAGAATGAAAAATACTATTAACAGCAAAGAGAGAATGGAATTCTTTTGTTTTGATCCCCAGATTGGGAACAGAACCCTTCTCAAAAGTAATGTGGATGTGATGCTAGTATGGAAATTTAAAAGAAATCACTCTTTTTCTTGATGGAATTTGTGCCATTTCTTTTGTAGTTCTATGTTAGCTCCGCATTCAAGACAATTTTATGAAGGGTGCATATAAAGGGTCATAAAAATAAACTTTATCATTGGCATCACAGTGCTTATCGGGGAGAAATATAATGTGAAAGGATGTTTCATACATTGTGTCTTTGTTCTGACGTCCGCCATGTGGTCGGAAAGGTAGCTGGCCTGTTGCAATGTGATAAAATGTCACACCAATACTCCAAAGGTCCACCTTGTGAAACAAGTAGGCATTAATAAGCATCAATAGATATTAATGACTAGTTTTGAATAAAGCAATATATCAGTGAAACATAAATATATTGATGTCATTGAAATGTTAGAAAAAATATAATTAATACTCAAATTTGAAAACACAATAATCAGAAAAGAATTATTACTATGATGATGATGATGGAGATAATGATGACGATAATGGTGCTAGTTCTGCTGGTGATGATTGTGATGGAGAAGATGATAATGATGCTGGTGGTGATGATGATGACAGAGATGATGATAATGATGCTAGCATTGGTGGTGATGATTGTGATGGAGAGGACAATATCATTAAATGATGGTAGCACTGGTGGTGATGATAATGATGGAGATGATGAAAGTCTTGCTGCTGTTGGTGATGTTGTGGTTAGTAGTGACGATGCTGCTGTAGCTATGGCTAGTGAAAATAAAGATAATGATGATAATGATAATGATGAAGACTGTTTAGTACATACATTTGCTCCAAATGTTTTACTACTGTGCTTTCGTAAAACTCCTCGTTCATAAAGATCTGGATGCTGAAATAATCACAACACAAATAAACAACAATTTTTGCTTCACGTCCAACAACCCAGCAATAAGCTAATACTATGAATACCGCATTTTAAAACTCAAAAGATAAATCTATTAAACAATAGGAAATTACCAGGTATTCCTCTGTGCCGTAGATTGAAATGAACTGATCTGAATGCATCAATTCTCTTGCGGCACCAAAATCTGTCAGCTTATACACACAAGTGTTGTCTTCTTTAAACACTCGCATAATGTTGCCTGGCTTGAGGTCCCTGTGCACTATTCCTTGTTCTCGCAGGTGCTCCATGCCTGCCACTAGTTAGATATTAACAAGAGAACATTACAAACTGACAGAAACTTACAAACTGACAGAAATATGCAAAGTAACATATTTTGAAGGTTACTCAAGCAAGGTTTGTTATACTAATAGATCTAGAGTGCTAAATGGGCTTCCTTCAAAAAGAATTTTTTTCTCTGTGAGATGGTTTTTGTAAGATGTGATACATTTCACTTCATAAGTGAATGAGATTTCAAAGCACAAACTTGTCATCATGATGGTAACCACGTATATCCTCAAGGTCCCTTGGGAATGGTCGCACATAAGAATACCAGAGGGAAACAAATTTAATACCTTGATCTAAATCTGTCAGGGACCATAAGGGTGGTTGGACTAAAAGACTGTCTACTTAGACATATATACTATATGTTGCATAATGCAGGTTTAATGGTCCCTTACCAACATCTCGTATGATGTCAATACAATCTTTTTCTGAGAAACCGTATGCATTCGAAGGATGTTCCAGCAAGTTGTACAGACTACCTCCATTACACAACTCCATGACGATGATCTCACTCTGGCTACGCAGCTAAACAGAAAAGAGAAAAAACTGCATAGCTTTAGAGGGGAAAACTGTACAATGCATCAAGGACCTTACTAAGCAGGCCAGTGGCTAGGGGTAGTTCGGTGGTTTGAATACGCCCCCCTCCCCCTCCCCCCTATGCAAAAACAATGCAATAAGATCCAATAATGCTATAAGATGTCTATCAAGAAAATGGCATAACTAAGATTGGTAGAAAAATGAACTTCCCCCTTTCAAGGTTCCTAGCAATGGGCCTGCCAAGTGAACGATAAAAGGACTTTTAGAACTACAATCATGTCCAAACTAAACAAGGAAGTAATATCTAAAAACGCCATATGTTTTACATGATATAATCTCTGGAATGCATGTTCCAAATGGAAAATCCGAAAATTAAGCAAAAAATCGACAACGTTTATATCGGGAACGATGTACCCAGCTACCATACAAGGTACTGCAAATGTTATAAAAAGTACAGCAATGGAAGCTTTTGAAGATAAAGCATAGCTACGACCGTTTGCAGGACATACACAATTACGTCATCTAAAGGGGAATCCCCTACTATGGACGTTATGTCGACGACGACGATTTCTTGGAATAAAATTGAGGACAATAGAAAAATGCGCCCTTAGAGTATTATGTTAATGGTACTGGGCAAGAGGCGATGTTTTGCTTATTGGCACACGACCAATGTAGTTTAAGTCGTTTATTCTTTAGTATTCGTATTCCTGAATAAGACGACTTCAAGCTGAAGTTCAAAGCTGAGCGTCCCTCTTAAACATCTGCAACGTTGATTCGATCTAGTCAAGCATTTTAGATCAAATATGCAATGCAGAATACTAATAAATGAACTGAAATAAAAAGTGGGAATAAAATAAGGATAAAATTAGAATAAAATGCAAATGAATGATGGAAAGAAATAAGAAGATTTGTGAGCCTTCTTAAAGATGAACAATTCTTTTCATATCGAGAGCGAAGTTGACTGGTTAAGCATATCGAAACCAAGAGCGAAGAGCGGAAGTATGAGAGAATTACAAATCATTAAAGTAAATAGAATATTGTACCTCCTTCTCAGAAGCAAAAATTCGAACAATATTTCTGTGGTCTAGCTTGCTCAAAACTTCAAATTCTCTCATCCTGACTTCAACTGGTCTCATCATTCCAATATGGTTAGTAGTCTTGATAGCAACCTCTTCTCCATTTTTCTATGGGTAATCATAACAAAAGTTTTAGACTCTTATACCAGAAACTCCCATAGCACAAGTATAATCAAGAGATACCTTGTTTCGTCCTTTGTAGACGGCTCCAGTAGCTCCTTGTCCCAACACGTCTTTGATATTCCAGAGGTAGTTGGTGCTGCTTCTAATCTCCATTTTGACTGAGAGGTCTTCAAATGATTTGATTTTACGTGTACTGTAGACTTGAATCGCAAACCTCTCTTTCTTGAGGGATAAAAGAAATGCTTAGCTCACCTTTTCTGACCCATTAAGAGAGTATAAGAATATAGCTTAAATGTCAAAATGAAAATACTGACGAAGCAGATAGTCCTGATGACTCACAGTAATAGCACAGTGATAAACTTTCTTTCTTACCCTCCCCTCCCTCCTAACTCCCTCCCCTCCCCTCATCTCCTCTCCTCTCCCCACTCCTCGCATTTTTTTGTCACAGGACAATATTACATAACAGTGTTGTTTTTTTTTGTCGTTGTCGTGTTTTCTTGTCCAAAATACGAGAATATGATGGCTAGTTCTCCTGTAGCCTTAGTACAGGGTGCAAGCCGAGGGATTGGCCTTCAGTTTTGTCGCCAACTTTTGGCAAGAAACTCAACTGGTTTGGTGATAGCGACCTGTAGAGACCCAAGCAGTGCTTCAGAACTACAGGATTTAGGGAACAAATATCCAACCCGCTTGGGTATTTATGCTTTAGATGTGAAGAACGAAGATCAGATAAGTGAAGTCAAGAAAGAAATCCTTTCAAATCAAGTAAAAAAGATTGATTTACTTGTAAATTGTGCTGGTATTCTACATCCAAGTGGTAAAGGCGAGACAAGTCTACGAGAAGTAACACAAACAGATGTATCTTCCACGTTCCTTACCAACACGGTTGGACCATTATTGATGGCAAAACATTTTGGTCCTCTACTTCTTAAAGGGGATAGTTTATTTGGCTCCCAACCAGGCCAGTTCTGTGGCATTTTAGCTAACATATCTGCTCGCGTTGGCTCAATAACTGACAACAAACTGGGTGGATGGTACAGCTATAGACTATCCAAGTCTGCCTTGAATATGGCTACCAAAACACTAAGTATTGAACTTGGAAGAGGACGAAAAAAAGTTGTTTGTATCAGCGTACACCCTGGGACCGTGGACACTGAGCTTTCAAGACGTTATCACAAGAACATTGACCCGGCTAAGATTTTCACCCCAGAATTTTCTGTTCAATCTATGATGGGCATTATTGATGGACTTTCTATTGAAGACACAGGAAAATTCTTCGCTTGGGATGGACAAGAGATCTCCTATTAAACCATTATCCATTTTGCTATTCCCAAATGAAGACTTGAATAGAATGGGAAACGAATGGGACACACTTGAATTACATCACTGTGTTTTTCTTTTTTCCTTTTCTAAATGCAATTGATTTTTGGTAAATGTGCAATAGAGTGCTCACACTAAATCCGTGAAACAAATACTAATTTTTAGCACTAAGTAGTGATAATTAAACAATAGAAAACAAAGGATTCTGTATGAAATAGTACTAATTAGTACTATTTAATGTTCACGGTTTTAGTGCGTGCACTCTAACCGCAATTCTCATTTGCACATAGGGATTGGAATCATGATTTCCAGCCATGACAAGGGTTTTCGGTGGACAACAAAATGTTTCTGTAACTTTGTTGGAAAACACAGTTTTCAATGAAATGTGCCAATGGAATGTCACAGATTGATTGATGGGAATAAAAATATGGGAAATAACAAAAACAAAGACATTACATTTCAAGTGTTTATTTATTTTATTTCAATTGACCAAAATGTTTGAAATATTTTCCAGCTCTACAGAGCTCAATGATGTTAAGAGAGAGCAATATTCAAATGAAATTTAAAATAAAACTGCTTTGAAGGACATTCTGAAAAGTGAAAAAAAACCTTCATTAAAGTCCCTTTACAGTTATTTTTCTCTTTGCATTTGCATTTAGTTTTGTTTGATTTTAATTCTATTAAGAATAATTGAGTAAATTACTCGTAAACTTGTAAACCATGAAGGCTACAAGAAAGTTTCAAAGTATCATTCCAGTTAACACCTGGATTAAGTGCCTACTTTGTCCAGTGTATTACGAAAAAAGGAAAAATGAGATAGTTTGTGTCTGCTATTGTTATATGCTATTATTCCATGGGATTTATCCTTTGACTTTCATTTATAGAATGCTTCGTTATTATTTTCCTTTTCCAAATTGTATTTCTTAAGGCAAGGGTAAAAAAGCTTAATTGCCAAAAAAAAAAAATTCAATAATATGTAAGCTTATCTTATGGCTGTCTACGAGACTGCACCATATATACTACAACAAGAAGAATCCCTTGCACAATAACTTTTATCAGTAAATAATCGAAAATTGGCTTAATAAAATAAGACTAACAGATAAGAAATTACTTTTTGTGAATTCCGATAGTTGTAGACTTTAAAATGGTGCCATCCTGCAACTGGCCAATTTTTAAAATTGAACAAATATAATTCTGGTCTTGAAAGTCAAAGGAATAAAAGATTCAAAAAGACAATTAAAGGAAAATCTCTCATAAGAATAAATAGAACAATCAACTATTAATCGAAAATATAATCCAAACATAACAAAATCTAATCAACAAGCTTGAAGCCTGTCACATAACAGAACAAAAGAAAATTAAAATATTTTCTAACTTGATTTTTTGACATGGCCATTTTAGAGTTGATAAAAAATAAATGATCTCTTTTCGACTTGTATTAGCTACTGACATTAAGCAAATTTCATAAATAGGCCATTTCACGGATCCCGTTACTCAACCTCAGCCTCATCAACGTGTAATATATTCTTTAGAAATTGCCTACAACCTGTGAAATTTTAAGTGTTGTTCGTTGATGTGTAAATTCCTTTCATTACTGCGGACTGTAGTCAAATTCTAAAGAATAATTACATGCTGACGAGGCTGATGTTGAGTAACGGGATGTTGAGTAACAGGATCCGTGAAATGGCCTATTCCCATTTTCTTATTCCCCATAATTACATCTTCTGATGAGAAGATGTTGCAAATGCATCTTGTAGTATTTAAAGATGTAAAAGAGACAAAAGAAAATGTAAGCCACATCTGATTAAAGAATGTTCTGACATTTTTTTGACCAGTTACCCAAAAAAGTAAAGCATCCTGGGAAATGAGAAAAGGCGCTGACTCAAGAGAAACTCACAAGAACAAAACATATACATATTATAGCTGTAGTGTGTGTGTTACCATTAAAAACAACTATGCTTGTATCATATACAAAAACCTGATACACCAACACACACACACACACACACATCACAAGTTATGATAAAGACAGGGCAGGACTTTGAAGAAATCTTTCTTCACATATTTTATGACTAATAATAATAATAAAAAATGTTAGACTAACAAAAAATGGCCATTGTCAAAAATACAAAGTACAAGGTGCAACTTATGGATGGATATTTTTCAAGTCTTCAGTATTTTGTAAAGAAAAAATGTCTATCCTTACTGCATACCTAATAGTTAATCTAATAGTTATCTATTATCCAACTATTTTTATGACCGAATATTGCAAATATGCCACTTGTGATTTTTAGAGTATGAATATAGCAGAATATTTGTACTTGCTCAATGCATGTTTAACTGCAATATTTGTACTCTACTGAGTATAGTGGGATAATAAAGTACTGTAGTTGACTACAAACATTTTCTTTGTACAAATATTGTATTCCTATTTTTTAAATTTAATAAATTACAGTACTTCTTTATTTTCTGTATTCTAATAGATATTTCTTGACTGATGTGTTGTCCCTCTAGAGTATAGAACAGAGGGAATCACTCTCGTCATGTTTGCAATTGGGTAAAGAATGCCTGGAACAAATAGAAACAAATAAATGAATGAATGTGAGGATGGATGGATGGAAACTAGTGCATATCAACTATCAACTCACATAAGTTGTGTAAAGTGTGTGATTACACTATTATGCAAGCACCTCATTACTGTCAAGGTTTGTCAATGACCTGGTGACCAGGTTATCCACTTTTTAGATACAGGAAATGTGGATCCCCTGGTGAATAAGATCATTTATTTACTCTGTGAATGTCTTAGCACATAGTTTTTCATTGATCTCTCTCAAAYCAGTGACTCTGACTTCACATTATTCTAAAGTTACAAAATATATGAATAAATAAATGAATCCATAAATGAATGAACAAATGCATGAATGAATAGATGGATGGACAAAGGAAGATGGGATGGATGGGTGGGTGGATGGATAGACTGAATGAAATGGAAGAAAAATGGACATAGATGGTAGGATGGACTTAATGGGAAAAATGAAATGAATAAATAAGATACCAGAGGTAAGTTATAGAATAAAATTCAATCAATTAAAGATTGGAAGTAATGAAAGAATGAATGAAGACAAATAAAATGGATAAACGTAATTATAAATCAACTAACTTTTGAATAATTTTTAAAGGTCTTCATGTCTGCATGTTGAAGAGCTTGAGTATATTCCTGGTGAAGAAAAAAAACCAAAATAAATTCATTCTGCTTCCATTCACCTTTCATCCATAACTTATTTCTAACCATTAGTCAATTATAATGGTTAATGCCATTACCTGTACTAGAGATGGTGATAGGTTAAGACTGGGAAGGTACTTCATTTGGAGGTAATTCAAATAATCGTTTCCCTGTTGATAAATATTAATAACTATTAGAAAAACATTATGTACTTATTGCCTTACATGCACAGTAAATAGAGTGATCTTACTTTGCTTGTGAAAGAATAGTCAAACTAATATCTAGCAGTGGACACAAAAATATTATTCTATTAAAAATTAATTGTGAATTTATGAAATGGGTTTTTGTCACTCGGTAAAGATCTATATGTTAAATGTATGCTACATCAAGTGTATGAGCAGATTAGCGAGATCCCAACTGAGGCAGATTTTTTAATCTGCTCATGCACTCGATGTAGCATACACTTTACATATTATTTTATTGTTTTCTTTTTTATGCTTGGACTGTTAGTCACTAATAGAGTGGTCTTCATAAACCCATGAAACAATGTGTACTAATATTAGAGTGTAATAAACAAAACAATTAGAATGTAATTGTAATAAAGCTTATGTTTTTCACTGGTTTATACACCCTTCTCATAATGGATGATGAACGCACGGAAACAAGGTCACCCAGTCATCTTGCAAGGTTGAGCCAAGCTGCTCATTCAAAATAAAGGCTGTTGGCGCTAATTCAGATCAAAACAAAGGTCATTTTTTATACTTTTCTTCTTTAAAGTCATTTCATGTGATTTTATATCTTTTATCGTGAAATAATGACTGGGTGACCTCGTTTTCGTGCACTTGTCAGCCATTATGAGAAGGGTGTATGAAAACCACTGTAATACAACTTTGTTTCAGGGGTCAAGAAAAATCACTCTACAAACCATATAGCTTGGTCATTTTTTCAAGGTCGCATTACTTGCCTGTTTTTGTAAAATAGTTTTCTGTGTCTGTGCAATCTCTTGCATTGCCTACAGATATCAAGAAACATGCTTGTAATAGGGACAATATTGAAGAGACTTTTGAATAAACTAACAACCACTGCACAGTTCTTACAGCCTCCCTTAGTCATTCAGTTGGATATTCAGCCATTCAGCCAACCATTAGTGGTGCAACCAATCAATCAATCGATCGGTCCCAATCAATCCATCAATCAATCGGTCCCAATCAATCAATCAATCAATCAGTCAGTCAGTCAGTCAGTAGAGAACCAACAAGGAACTCTCAATCACTCTGTCAAACTGTCAATCAGTCAGTCAAACACTCTGTCAAACAGTCAGTTAGTCAATCAAATCAGCCATTCATTCATTCATTCAGTTCATCAGTCAGTCCGTTAGCGAAACAACTGTCTGTCAGTCAGTCAATCAGTCAGTCAGTCAGTCAGTTATTCTATTAGTCAGCCAATTATAAGATAGTCAGTCAGAGGGACAGCTACAGTTCATCATATTTAGTGCTCACAATTTTCACATTTGACAACTAACCAGGAATGTCTGTGCATCCTCCATGTTGAAGGTAGATTTCATAGGAGCAAGAAAACAAGCTGGTACAATACTGTCATACATAAAATCCTTGAAACCACTCTCTATACTGTTACCACCTGATATGATGAAACATAAAAATATGTATCTGTTAGGGTCAAGTCTAATGCTTTGATTTAGGTCGGTTTTCTAATGTCAGGTTTCAGTAATCAAAGATATTGTTGAGCTACCTTTTGCAAATTTGCTTGAGTGACCATGAAACAATGGCTGCAAGTCAAGGTTGGACTTAATGTGTTTTGGAACCACTGTCTTGGGTCACTCAGTGAAATTGCAAGGTCTATATGTCATAATAGACCTCCTCGGCTCTGCAGCGCTCGAGCGCAATGTTTACCCATTTCAGACCACTTGTCATTCCCTAGAGTATCATTTCTTTGTTTGAGGTCTGCGCTCGGTTGCACATGAGAAGACACATGAATATGGTTATAACTCAAATAAAGAATATTATTCTCAAGGGAATGACACGTGGTGTGAAATGGGACAACATTACGCTCGAGTGCTGCAGAGCCGAAGAGGTCTATTAAAGTAGCATACAGTGGTACCTCTAATAAGTACTCTTAACCTTTAAATAATTTTTGTCCAGACTTACCCCAGAGATCCACCAGCTTGCGAAGAATATTGAAACACAGTTTTTGGGCCTGAAGTTGAATATGGAAAGAGAACTTTATTGATGAGTCAGATATATGAAATATAACAACAAAGATCTCTAGAAAATGAGCTGCATATTAGCCATTCTTTGGTTGAGGAAAAAAATGGGTCCATTTGGCATTGCAGTGCATTGGGGGATGGTTTGAGGAACATAAAATTATCTTAAAGATGGCCATCTATTGGCACCTCAATAATTCCACAATGCATCACAATGCAAATAAACCCTGTTTTTTTTTGTTTAACCTCGGAATGGTTAACATACATCAATACAGAGGGTAAAACAAGGTTTAAAATGCTGTAATGGCTCCAGCTAAGAATGGAGAGAGCCATTATGCTTACCACTGGGTCTGGATAGTCCACTGCTCCTTGGATTATCGTTAGAAGTACTTGATGAACATTTTGGGGTTCTGAAATCCACATGAACATAATATCAATGAATGCATGAATGAACGAATGCATGCATGCATGAATGAACAAATGCATGAATAAATGAATGAACAAACAATCTTATGAACCAACAAATGAACGAAAAAATGAATGAAGGAATGAATAAATAAATAAATGCAGGGCTTTCAGAATAAGCTGGCAGCTGCCAGACCTCTGGTGGTTGCTTCAACGTTAAATGCAGGCTAATTTCTCTTTTCTATCAAAACACTCGTTTATCTATTGGATTAAATTACTGTCAAGGTTTGTCAATGACCTGGTGACCAGGTTATCCACTTTTTAGATACAGAAAATATGGATCCCCTGGTGAATAAGATCGTTTATTTACTCTGTGAATGTCTTAGCACATAGTTTTTCATCGATCTCTCTCAAACCAGTGACTCTGACTTCACATTTCTAGAGTTGTAACTTACATGAATAAATAAATGAATCCATAAATGAATGAACAAATGCACTAATGAATGAATAAACAAATGAATAATTGGATAAATGAAAGAATGGATGGATGGATGGAGGGATGGATGGATTTGATCATATATTTCAAGTAATAATCATTACTATTATCACGAATAATTTTTCATTCAAATTAAAAAGAAGCAAGGGCCACTGAGGTGTCATAGTTTGCGATTATTAAAAATATGCAATAAATCATGATAGCTACAAATAAAGAAATTGTACCTTGATTAGTGAGTACTTCAGCTACATTGTTACTGACAATTGCAGAAATAAAAAGAAAATAGCTTCGTCTCAGAGTTTCCTTTTCCTTGGCCACCTGGACAAATAGTCAAATAATATATTAATGTGAGAATACCAAGATCCCTAATGCAAAAAAGTATCATGGGTTATATTACAGATGTCATTTTCTCAAGTTGTGCAACTGTTAAACAAGGAAGTAATACTCTAAGAAAACACAACTACCCATACCTGTGTATCGGCTTCTTCGACCGGCTTGTTGAGAACAGTAAATATAGCATTAACTATTGCCATAAATACTTCACACAGAAATGGTGCAATATGACTCTAGGAATAAAAGAAAACCAGGTACATATGAAGATCTAAATCAAAGTGAAAATGGAGGTCAGATGTAATTACTTTTCTGAAGTTCAATACAAGATTTTCATTCTATCTTAAAGTACCTATAACACCTAACTCAATATTTTCAGCATTGATTCTACATGAAGAGAATACTTGAATGGTAAAATATTGTTTGGAGAGAAAAGTGGATAGTACGTTTCTTGGGAAAGCAGAAATTTTGGTTCTACCAAAACGCAATTCTTTTGTTAATGTAATTGCATTGTTGTCGTTGTTGTTGATGATGTTGATGATGATGATGATGATCATTAGTTTATAATTAATATTATCAAACTCATTAATAATTCATAAGGAAAACACAACAGAAATCACGACCGTGAAGAGTGTTGTAAATCTGATACAAAACTGTGTTCATTTGCATAAACTTTAAGTTGGATTTTCTTGGCCAAATTCACTTTATTTTTGAAAATTTTAGTGAAACACAAAGGAACTAACCTAGACGCTTGATAAGTCATATACAGTATTCGTGTCCGTGTTGTATCAGATATACAATCACTTGACTAGGCCTCATGGTTGTATATCTGATACAACAGGGCCACTCATACTGTATATTATATTACATATAGTTTAGAGGCAGTTTGAGCATTTCTTTGCATTTTTTACTCGTCACTTGTATTTTGGCTCAGTAAAGGCTCGCCAAAATACTACGTGACTCGTAAAAATACACAGCCGTATCAGATGCTTAGTCGACTGATAACCTCTACATATTTAGAGAGGGTGACAAGTGACAGTTGTTAACTTAGCAGCTTGATGAACGTGTAGTCCTATAGTGCATTCTTTTCTGCATCTCACTTTACTATGCATAAATTGAATGAACTTTCTTCTATCCTATCATGAAGTAGATATGCAATGACCACAGTTTTAATTAATACAGAGATTGTTTTTACTAACCTTGAATTTTCCAATAATTTGATTTATCAAAGGAATGAAATCTTGAATGTCTCTTGCCTATGAAATAAATAGACATTATCAAACTGTAATTTACTAGGATTCTCCTGCAAAAGAAATGGTAGACCATTGTCCCCTTCCTATCCACTTTCCCACCTTTTCAACTCAATTGAAGAAACATGACAGCAGGATATATGCTAAGAAAACAAGAGAGAAGCCTAGCAATCCAAGTGCCCAAATTAACAGTGCGCATTGAAAAAAAGACGTGATTTGAGCGTGTTTGATATTCTCATCAATCATGGTTTTTTGACCAATCAGAGCGTGCGTCATATCTAAATTATTTGATAAATTATGATCTACTCACTGAACAGTCCTTCAGAAGATGTGTAACAGCTACAGGGATGAAAGGCAAAACATCTTCTCCTAGACAAACCACCATCCTGTGAAGGTACTGCCGTACTCCATTATGGATAATATCACGATGTACTGGTACAGTAAGTGCACGTAGGAACACTGGTAATGCCTGGGGTTGAATGGAAAGTGGATGTCAATAGTATAAAATTAGTTTTCATAAGACTATGGACCATCACAGAGCTCAGTAATGCCTAGGTACATAATAGACTACTTTGATATGGTCGGCATTTTGGAATGCAAGGCATCATTGGACATCTAGGGGGCAAATATTTATTTATGAGGATTTAGGAACTGAGAAAGACAACCCCAATGAGATATAACAATAGTACACCTAGTCCCTTACAAAGGTCAATCTCCAAAAAAGTATAGATTAACTAATGAGTCTTGATGATACATTTTTCTTTACATAGCCTGTCATTATTATAGCAATATATGGCACATTGGTCACTTTTACATGAAAGAAAGAATGACAATCTTTGTTTTGTTGTGCCCCCTGGACACCCCATCAGGCTGCTGTATCTTCGAAGTAATCTATTGATGACACCGGCAGACAAAAATCGTCAACTTTCAAATGCTACTTTTATCAAACCCGGGTTATACGACCAATAATAGTACACAAAATATACTTGTTTAAATGTGACTATAGACACTGTTTAACTGAATGACATCAAGCAATAGGAAAATGGTTATTTTTCTATAATAACATGAATATCCCAACTAGATGTTATTACATTTTTGAAGCACGGTGTACATCCACTTTGGTTCAAAGACTGTTGGTTTGCAAAAGCTTTACTTGTACGACTGAAACAAAAAGTTAAAACCTTTTTTATCATGAACAGTTTACAGAATTACTAAACAATGTACCAGGATCGATACCAGATTACTTGTTAAAGAATGGCATTGAGGGTGTTTATCTCTCATCAATGAGGTATTAATGGTTGTGTCACTGCATATTTGAGTTAATTTGATTGAGTACATTGGTGTTTCTCTGGCTTTTCACCCTTCTAATGGGATTTGGCACTCCATGGTGGATGGAAACCCTAACAGGTTTTACAACCCACCTAATAAGACTATCAATAGGTTGAATCAGAATAGACCAGTTTCGAATTCCAAATTACCGCTGAGTTCCTTGATTACAGACTCATTTGCACAGGGTTAGCCTTGTATCAGTGTTTAAATATTCACAAACGCCAACGGTAAAGTAAAGAATGCACAGCTTCAACAATAAAAACTCTTTTTGAAACTTGACGGATCTGACTGGAACACATGAATATTCTGTACAAACTTGAGGCTAACCCTGTGTAAATGAGTGTGTAAACACAGCGGTACTTTGGAATTCAAAAAGGGTCTATTTAGAAGCTAATTTTGGTGAAGAGGAGAATTAACTGGAGACTGGAGAGTCTAGAGAAAATCCCTTGAAGCATAGGAGAGAACCCACAAACAACTCAATTCCAGTATATGACACAGAGCACAGTGGTACTAAAACTTTTGGGTTGCCTTGGCAAGAGGCGAGTGCTCTTACCGCTAGCCCACCCACCTTAACAATCAAGTTCAGTATTGTGTATGATAACCATTAATGTCCTATGGATTCAGTGTGGGGCGAATCAAAGTCAAAAATACAAATACACTTTAATAAATATCTTGGCATCAGGAAAGCCCAACTTTACCTGGCAAAAGACACAAGGTTGTAGAGCAGCTGAGCACAGGGAAGAGAAGATGGTTGATCCAGTTCTGACAGGAGCTAAAACAGAAAACAAAAACAGTAAATGAATTATGAGAGGTCTGTAGCTAAAATAACTGATTAGTCTGATATTCATGTGGCTTACCTTGGTTAAAGCCATGTCAAATTTACTGATAACTGGTGATAGTAGATTATCCATGTATAACAATTTGTTCTGTGAAGATAAAAATAGTAATAATAATGAAATATTATTTATAATCTAGGGAAAAAACACAATATAATAATCTATTCTTTGTCACTCGCTAAAAGGGGAACTCTAAAAAAAGGGACAATTTATTTTTGTTTTTTTCAAAGTTCCCCCGGCCTTCAGCTAGTGACAAATGATTAAATATTTTAATATATAAAAAAGGAAAGTTCTTAATACTAATGAAATATATCCTCAAATATCTACTCATAAATGAGTCTTCGGTCATCAACGACAACAGCATACAAATATTGAGAAAGACGATCATTATAGGATTAGGATATTTTACATACCTCTTGTGAAGATCCACTTGAAGCTATAAGCATTCCAGCACATTCATATAAAAATAGCTATGAAAGAGAGCAATCCATGTTTTAGTCAGAATGACCATATTTATCAGAGGAGAGGGGAGAGGTGAGTGCACTACCACACTGGTGAATCCAGAATGACTTCAAGGGGGGTGGCAGTTACATAGAGTTATTGTGATTACAAATATATTTCAATCTTAAAGGGGGTGACTAGTCACCCAATTTCTGAATACTATTAATTAATTATTTATTTATTAGACAATTATTTATTTATTTAACCAGGGTGATACAGCAATAGGACATGAAGTCCCTTTTGTATTAATCAACTAGATCTAACAGGGCTCAAAATAACACTGGACAACATCTGCCCGCTATTGGAACTTGTCCGGTCAAATATTTGACTTGTTGGTCATTTTGACCAGTAACGTTCAGCCAAAAAACGAGATATGACTAAGCTAAAACTAATTTGGCCAGTAATCATGACTGGCGACTTACCAAAAGCTATTTTAAGCCCTGTTTATCTATCTATCATTGTTTAAAGCAGATAACTATGTGATGACCATACAGGACACTAACCTGCTCATCTGCGGACAGAAGGTGCTGGTATCCATTATCCTAGGAGAAAACAAAAAAATCATTGGTACTTCTAGAGCAATTGTTTTTTAAAAAGTCTGTTGGTAAAAGAGATAATGATGTAATAAAGCTATGTATCATGAAGAGATAACTAGCTAAAAACTAGAGCTGCGTCGGTGTTYCTAATGAAACAGTAATGATTAAAAGGTAAATTATACACCGTGAAAAAAAGGGAAAACTTACTGACGTTTTGGACGCTAGTCCTTCGTTTGAAACGTCAGTAAGTTTTTTCATTTTTTCATGGTGTATGATTTACCTTTTTATCATTACTATGTATCATGGTGATGTAGTCAAAGGGTGCTTCAGGTTACTTACAGAAGCAGTGATAAGAAGAGACTGCAGTCTTTTTAGAACATCATCTACATAATTATGCATTTGATTCCTGGAAAAAGAAGGAACAACAATTATTCTGAATCTAAACATGCCGTGCATTGTTTGTCAGAGTGAATGGGAATGAATGGATGGATGGGATTGAATGGATTGTTTGAGTGGTTGGATGGAATTGGATAGATGGATGGATGGATG